GCATCCACTACCTTCCATCAGTGACACTGGAGACTTGCAGGAGACAGGCAGGTTTATAAGCACGAACTATTGATTGATATACATGTAATCCATATCCAGTTGCTTGAGTAACAGTTTTTTGGCAAATCTTAACACCTGGAGATCTAACCATCATTGACAACAGAGTCAACTATTTTACAATAGACTGCCCCATTGAGTAATTGACTCAAAGTAACTGCTCCTAACATCTGCTTGGAGAGAAGCAGTATGGCAAAGTGCCCAACCATGCTGTCATGTACTGACCACCCTTATAGTACTGGCATGTGTGTGTTACCAACTGCAAAGGCATGTCAACTGATAAACTCATAACGAAAGCTACCTAAAATTCCACTGCTCAATTGTAGGTCAAAGTATGAAAAAAACTAATGATTACAACATTTGTTAGACAGAACTTGAAATATCAAATTCCTTTTGTGAGATATCATGAAAGTAAAATCAAAGCTGGCAAGGTAGTCTCTCTTCTTTGTCGAATTTGTGCCCTTACCATTTAAAACTTTACCTTTTACTCTTTTCTTTGATCAGTGCCCATTGTAGGTTCCATCCTTCTTTGAAATTTTAGGACAGTCAATTGTGAAATGCAAGGAGTTGAATAAGCTTGGTCTTGTGTGACTTATAAGAGGGCCTGCAAGCCCTTTTTCGTAAGGCGTAATCAGGCCGTTTTAGACTTCGTAATTCGTAGGCAGCCTCCGTAAAAATCAACGTAATTCGTAATTGGACATTAGCCGCAAATCGTAAAGTCGTAATCAGCTCTGAGACTTTAACGTAATTCGTAATAGGCGGCGAAAATTTTGCGTAATTCGTAATCACTACCCCCCCCTTGCAGGCCCTCTTATAATAACTTTTGCACATAAAATAAATAAATTTACAGGTGTGCTGAAGATCAAGCTGAATTTGTGACCTCACCATTTTTTTCCACTTTCTTGGAGGAATGGAACACCTTAGTTCTGGAGATTTCACAGTGACAAGACCCTGATTTGTGTTCATGACTTTAGGAAAAATCATATCTTTGCCAAAAGTAGGTTCCTTTAATATTTACAACTTCAAGACAGTCAATCATGAAATCCAAATCCAAGGAATTACATTAGCACAGATGTGTGTGACTCATAACAACTTCTACTCAAATATAAAGACTGACCCAGGGAGACTACAGCACACAGGGGAGGTCTGGGTATGCAGGAGGTCAAGTTTTTGTACAAATGGGGAATTGTAGGCATGGCGGAGATCAGGGTTAGATGTCACTGTGTGCTTTAATGTGCCTGCGTTATTTCTCACTTCCACATGCCTGTCAAACACACGAGAGGATATATTCAAAGGAACGAAAAAGTGTCTAAGTCTATCTGAAGGGGTGTCTTTGGTAAAATTCTCGGATCCAAGAATCAAGCCTGTATACTCTTCCCTAGCAACAGTCTGGCACCAAGCCTATGTCACTGTATGATAAACATGTATCACTGCAAAGATGTATTAACTGTCTTCTGTCATTATATTGATCAATATTTTGTATGGTCACATCTTCAATAACCTTGAATATCATATTACATGGAAGCACTATCTAGACTTTCACGTTCCATTGCCATGATTGGTCATTCTGTATAATTCTATCATATGAGTAAAAAAGAAAATAAAATTGCCAATATTTGAGAATTGTGACTATTTGATATCAAAAGGCAATGAAGCTTATATCTAAGCAGCTTTCATCAAAACTTTCTATGATTCTGAATTATAAAACCACAATGGAAAACTCATTTTCCTCAACATTGCAAATTCCCTAACCCAAGTGATTTATTAACATGAGGTCCATAAAAATCTACTTCAACACGCAGCCGGCACAAAAATATCTAAACCCTGGAGTAAAAACAAATTTTCTGCCAAAGAATTTCACTTCCATCTGGTAAGTGTGTCAAACTTGGCAAAGACACACAAACATTCTTGAACCAGGAACACATTTGGTCCATGTTTGAGTCATACATAAAAGCTTCGGGCAGTTAAAATTGTAGTGAAACAAAAATTCCTTCTCCTTTTTATGTCTATTGATTTAACATTTGATTGAGTTCTAATTCCAAGCAGACAAAGGCTTATTTGCAACAATATCAGCATATATCCTGGAGATAGTTAGTGAGTAAGTAACAATAACAAAAGTGAAAATTGCAGAAATCAATTTTAAATTGTCTTAATCAGTTTAAAAATAAACAATTCAAGAAAGTCTGAAGAAACTGAAACCAAATCATACCTCCTTGAAATAGCCAAAATCGCTACGAAAACATGGCCTACTTTCCGAGACTGTTCTAGAGATATGACAAAGAAAGCCTTTTTGTGTGATGAAGATGGAGATTGCTTCCCACCCCAAGTAATAGATAGAGCACGGTTTGAGGCTGACTATGAGGATTTAGAACTGCCCCGCCCACCAAGGGGATTTCATGTCTCCCGAGGCCGGAGGCCGAGGGTGACATGAAATCCCCGAGGTTGGGCGGGCAGTTCTAAATCCGAGTATTCAGCCTCAAACCGTGCTCTATCTAATAGATAGAGCACTTCTAGGTCCCCGAAGGTGATCAACTCCATCCACTAGAACTTGATTTTGCTTTATAAATCTTTGTTTAGTGTCACTTTTTGTCTTGTTTCGAGGAGTTGTTTGGTTGTCCATCTGGGCTGATTAACGACCGCTAGGTCGTTAATCAGCCCAGATGGACAGCCAAACAACTCCAAGAAGAGTCAAACCATGTGTGGTGATGAGCCAGTCAGTCTCCTCTGATTCCCCAGGGCAGAAAGCTGGACACTGCCATTGGCCAGTTGTTGTTTCCATGGAAAAAACAATGGGCGGGTCCAACATAGTGTAATTTATTCGGTTAGTTAGAGCACCTCTGTCCCTAGAGAGGGACCAATTCCAGCTCACTGGTTGGCTGAGAAGAGGGTGGCTGGTTAGTTAGTGCACCTCCACCCCAAGGGAGAGAGGTGCACTAACTCACAAGTATGCTACTATGTGGATATAATCACTAAAAAGCCAGGATCCCTATTGGCTGAGGGGACCTAGCAGTGCTCTAATATTCCCACCACACCTGCAGGTTGACCCATATCTGTTCAGTGTCCACTGCCTTCAGAAGCCTTGGGAAAGCTTGATGGATCTGCGGATGTGGTGGATATAATATACCAAACACTGGGGGGTCTACAGATAGAGGGGGCCTGATTAATCCACACTAATTGACCACAGAAGTTTGAATGTTCACCAAAGCTCTGAATACTTCCACCTCATTTCATGTATTTTGTAGATAGGAACCTGCATTCAGATACCATCTGTGGTACACATTACAGGACTTGAAATTCATTTTTGGGAATAAGTGCACTGGTGCACCGAACCTAATTTTTTTGGGTGCACCATATAAAACAAAACATAATTAGAGATCTTACTGCTTCTCTTCTGAGCTTGAATCCAAAATGGGATATAACTTCAAAATCTTAAACAAGTCCTACAAGAAAGATTTTATTATTTTTCTGACACTTACATGCCAAGAATATCCTGTATACTAATATACATTTGATATGTAAAAAATACCTACGAAACTATTTGGGTGCACCAGTACAGTGTACCCACAGAAAAAAATTGGGTGCACAGCTGCAATTTTGGGTGCACTAAGGTGCACATGCACCCAGTATTTCGAGACCTGTATTATGTCCAGTTAGGTCGAGATGGATGACCACAAAATCATCTTAACCTGGATAAATAATTCACAGTTTATATTGTAGATAATTGGATTATTTATGCATTATTGAGTTACATCAATTTGTCACATTCTCCTGCATTCCTTTACTTTCCCATGTCCTGTATCAGATCGAGATCTACCACATCTCCATGCAGATGTTGTAGGGCTTTTTTGTGCTCATTTTGTGGCATTTTCTAGAGGTATCTGTATCTGTATAGCCAGTATAACCACCCTTCAGCGTAACACACCAGCTTCTCTATCTATATAGCCGATAATACACCAGCTTTACAGGCATGTGGTGTGTATCCTTGCCTCTGGATACTGCTACATATTTAGAAAATGAGATTGAATTTTAGAAAATGTCTGGCTCAAGAAACAAAATCGTTGGATGCTTCTTAAGTGCCTTTCCTTGCTACATGTGTAACTCTATAAGGATCGCATAACGTTACATTCAAAATGTCATGAGAGAACTGTGCTCATTACCACCCCACATTTCCATATTTAGTGGTCAGCCCCTTTTGGAGATAGACTCCAAATAGTCTTCTGATTTATGTTCTATTTCACCTATAACCAGTCATCCGTCTTTCCTGAATAGCCTTCAGTTGGAATAATTCCCATCATAAGAAATCTGAGGGAATCTTATTTAAAAATCAATATTGGGGGTCAAAGTGTACAATAGAGCATCAACGCATCAATTTTCTTACTAAGAAAGAAACTGGATATGTCAAGTAATATCACGCAATGTATAAATATTGCTGTTTAAACCTTACTCTTGTGCAATCTTTACCCTCAATGTTTATGTTATCGGTTGAAAGGCTGGTATATACATAGACTCACTACACGTTTAACTTTAGACTATACATTCAGCACTGCTTCTCTTCCTAAGAGAAATGTTTTGGGTTGTTTGGGGCAAAACACATTGGTATGCACGAGATGAGAAATTACCATTAGGTGGAATATCACAAATGATTGTAGATTAAGGTAAATTGAAAACGAAGTATGCCTACCTAAACGAAATATAATAAAATGAAAAATGCTGCCTTGGCCCTTATTCAAGTTTCTTTCTCCTACAATATCAGTGAACTGATCATCCGCCAGGATGACAAGAAATATGATGATATACTGTACTACATTCTGCCCTCCCTAATGCATGATTCAGACACATGTACACACAAAGCTCCATCCTATACATGCATACCTCAACATCTCACCTACCAAAAACTTGCTTGAACAAGAAGTAGAAGTAGAAGTAACCAGCCACAAACTCACCCCATCTTGCCAACGCAAGAAGCACCAGTACTTCCAACAGCGCAATCCACATGGCAAGAGCCAGCGCCGAAGTTTCCTCCCCACAGTAATCCGACATGGTCAAACACGGCGGTGATCGTGAGGGGACAACAAGCGCCGAAAGCGGAGGAGGGGGGAGGGGGGCAGGCGGCGGCGGACATGTTTGGAAATAGAACCCACAGGTGGCAAGGTCATCATCATTTCCATCTACAGCAACTCCCTTCTTTGCAGACGTTTTCTCATCAGAAGCTTGCAAGATGCCGAAGAAACAGGAACAAACCGAGCTCACTCCTCCAAGGTGTCGGAACCGCCATGTTTACAAGGTCAGCAGCTTACAAGGTCATGCAGTCACCGTCTACATACATGTACAACTGACATCTAGGAAACTCCAACAGGAACACATAGCACACAGGAACACACCCACACCCCACACTACACCAGCCAAGTCTGGCCTGCTAGGTCCACTGGGACCTACACAGAACCTGAGCCAATAACCTGCCAGCACTGCAGGGTGCTTTTGGAATCATCCTTACTAGAGACCAGACCTTTAGGCCTTGGAAAAAAATGCTGTGTTTCCTGTTTCAGTCCTGAAAAATTAGGGTCGGTAGGTAGGGATTATCTTCTTTTTTTTTTGACTTTGGGGATCTCTAGTGATTCACCTCATACAATACGGTTTAACAAAGAAAAACTTGCATGAGGACGCTTTCATTTCCAATGTCAATGTTGGAAAACTGATTGTACACTTTTAATCACTCAGGTGTCAGATCATGGAGCTAGGAAAGGTAAAAAAATTTATATCCCTTGCAGAGGTCCACCAAAAGAGGGGCTACCTCGGCAGTTTTTTCTAGATCGGTCAGGAAACAGGAAACACAAAAATTTTTCCCTAGGCCTCAGACATGTACTAGTAGTGAGAGACCAGACCTTTAGGACCTGCATGTGGCTGCCTGGCTGGCTGGCTGGCTGGGAAAATTTATTTTGCCGCCCCATAACTGGTGCTGAGGAACCCCAGGAGACCTGGGAGTCAGACTCGGGCCACACTAAGTAAAGCTTGTGGTTAGCATCATATTGAATTCTTATGGACACCTTGTATGTGATGTACATCTGACAATACAGGAAATATATGGGTCACAAACATATTAACATGCCTTTGTTTTGATATTGATTGATTGACTGACTGATTTATTGATTAAAAAATGATTGGAAGATTACAAATGTTGTAACAAAAATCAAAATGACAACCATTCTGATTCTGATTTTCTGATTTGAAACATGACAAAAATTGTAAACATCAGTTATTTTCAGTCTTATTACGATTTTATTACCTGTATCCCCTGAATATTCAATGGCAAACAATATACAAAACATAGCGCCTCTTAAGCTTTCGTCCCTAACATTAACTTCGTTGGGTCTGTCTGGCTGTCAGGTTTTACACCATCCAGACCTCAGGGTTTAACCCTAGCAGGCTAGTCTTTAAGCCTTACATAAACTCTGGTCCTAATGGACTGACACTAGTGATAGGAAGGGCTGATGAACCTTTGATGTGTTATCAGAGGATAGTTACAGTTACAAACCACAATAGTCTACAGGTATGATAACTGAATGATGTTTTGCTATAGTCTACAATGTATATGAAGATGTTTGCAGGATACAAAATACACAAGCTTTGGTCAAGAATCAGTATCAGTTGTTAGACAGTGGATAGTTACAGTTACAAACCACAATAGTCTACAGGTGTGATAACTGAATGACGTTTTGCTATAATTTATATAAAGATGTTTGCAGGATATAAAATACACAAGGTTTGGTATCAGCTGTAGTTTTTAGTTAGACAGTGGATAGTTACAGTATCTGATCCTGGGTACCATCCTCTGTAGTTTCTGTTGACTTCCCAATGTCGCTGGCTACCACGGTCAACATTAGGGAGCCAGCTGGAACTACGGAGGATGCCACCCTGGCTAGACCTGGTCTCTTTGTTCCTCAGACAAATGTTATAAGCAGAGAAAAGTGCCACAAGCTACACAACAGTTCCTATCTGATGAAAGGTTGCTGACCAGAAGAACAACAAACACTGGGAGGTCCCAGGACAGACTGAAGTGGTGTTTGACGCTCATGTCAACTCAAGTTTCCCTTTTCTGGGGGCCCACAAGCCCTTTTCCGTAGAGCGTAATCGGCCGTTTTAATTCTCCGTAGAGCGTAGACCGCTCTAATATTTTTGCGTAGAGCGTATTCGGCGTTTTAATTCTACGTAATGCGTTGTAGCCACTTGGAATTTATCGTAAAGCGTAATCGAGAGGTCTCCGAATTCAGCGTAGAGCATTGTCGGGACCCCCCCCTTGCAGGCCCTCTTTTCTAGCTGTTATGTCTTACTACTATGATTCGTTCTCTTGGCTTTGCTTCTCTGGCAAAAAATATACAGAAACTGGTCATGTCTAAATGTACATAACTTAGTTGAGGTAAGGTGAGGGTGATTGTAAAGGCTTGCTTATAATGTTATTTTTCCTTCTTTACATCGACAAAAACCAAGTAATAAACTTGTTCCAGCCACCTTGGACTTGATGATGTCATCACCCCAGCTTCCACTTCCTAACATGTCTCTGTTGACCCCTGACTGACCCCTGACCCTTCACCCACATCTGCAGACACAGTCTCCCCCTTGCCATTCATAATTTCCCACAAACCATCTGGACTTTGACATCCAATTCCCATTCCATTTCCTGTGACCTTTCCGACATTGACCTCTGGAATCCCGGCCCAATCTTTCTTTATTAGGTTCTATTGGAAAAATGGCTTCCTTATAAGAAGTCATATCCCTGGGTGACTTACAATTTACACACAAGGCACAACATGATATACTGTTCAGTCAGTGGTTATCAGCAATAAAATGTGAAATAAACAAAAAAATTTTCACATGTTTATGGGAGGACACAATGAGAAGGAAAATCTTTTTCAACAATTTCAGGTCAAAATTTTCCACAGATTTTCAAAGAATCAAGTCATAATCAAGGAATGGGGACTTACTTCAAAGACAAAAGACAAAAAAGTGGATTTCTTTGCAAGAAAGACAGAAGACAAATTTCTTTATTAGAAATTTCGTCAAACCTTGATAGAGAATACAATAATAGCAGAAAATATGTAATCTGCACTATAATCTTTGCACTTGAATGACTGATGAATAGGGAGTTAGGGACTTCATATTAACTTCTCTAACTTTTCTAAGACAAAAACAAGATAGAATTTCTTTTAGGAATTTAGACAAACCTTGAAAAGAGAATACAGTAATAGCAGAAAATATGTAATCTACACTATTATTTCTCCTTATCATTCCCCAGAACAGAGACAGAGGCCAGCAGCCAGACTGTGTGACAAAAAATACAAATTTCTTTATTGGAACCTTCGATAAACCTTGATAAGACAATACAGTAATAGCAGAAAACATCTAATCTGCACTATTATTATTTCTCCTTATCATGCCCAAAAACAGAGACACATGCCAGCAGCCAGACTGTGTCTCCGTTTGTTGATAAGCTGCCACCCTTATCTGCCCAGCCTCCAGCTTCCCTCAGGCGAGACTTCAACACTTTCTCCAAGTTCAAAGTCAAGATTACAGCCTCATCTCCAGATGTCCGTCCTGGGCACCAGAACAACCACTCACTACAGGCAGGGAACAGGACTTCTGGGCCAAAGCAATGCCATTAATGGTAATACAGACTAGTTCAACTTCAAACGAAACATTTCTTTCAGATTCAGTTTTCCTTTCTTTCCATCATTCTTCATTTATTTCTTTCTTTCAATTTCCTTTTTTCTTTCTTCCTTTCTTTTTCTTTCTTTCAATCTTTCTACCTTTCTTTTTCTTTCTTTCTTCTTCCTTTTTCTTTCTTTCCTCATTTCCTTCTTTCTATCTTTCTTTCCCTTTCCCTCTTTCCTTCTTTCTTTCCCTTTCTCTTTTTTTCTCTCTTTCTTTCTTTTACTTTACACATTGCCTGAGACCAATGAATGTACTCTTTTGATCTCATAACTCCACATATGAAGTTCATTTGTACCATAACAACTTTTGGGCTTCTTGCCAAAAATAATGCCATTGCCTGTACTTCAAACTTTGTACATAGGTAAGGATAAGATTCGCATTGATCACTGAAAACTATAAATCGTAGTCCATCAGACATCGACTGAGACCAATTAATCTAATTCCTTTCCATGCTAACTAAACATAATGAAGTTCTTTCCTTTCAACTGGCAATTTATATTATACTTCTGGACATAAACATGTAGTGAATAACATGTCCCCACCCCCAATGTGTGGCATTTCCATAAGACTGCTAATGTAACTACCACCTGCAGGTAGATAGAATTGCACCAGACCTAAGGACAGCCGACCTTGTTGTTTCTCCACACAACTTCAAAGCCAGACTAAGTTCCTACCGCAGGGAAGGCAGGCTTCAACTGACCTGGAAATTCCTCCAACAGGTCCTATATCACACCTGACAGAGCTGGACTCTGCCCAAAGCGCCCCTCCCCCTTTATTTCTACCAGTTAACCTAATATTCACATCATCATCATTACATCTTGATATCCATAAAAGATAAATGCATCTGCACATTCTGTACTTCTTCTCTCATCTATAAAACACAACTTGCGTAGTGCAGAAAGGCTGTAAGGGAACACCTCAACTTCAGGAAGTTCAGGAACAAAAACTTGTCATGTTCCCATTAAGTAACAAGGCCTCCTTGACCCTCACACCAGGAAATGCCCTTGACCCTGTCTTCTCAACAGCTCAACAGACATGTTCTCCCACATCTCAGACACACCCTAGGAACACATGCCGTAGCCAGGGGGGGGGTTGCAATAGAAAAAGTAGAAAAGCATATTTTTTCTATTTTTTCTTGATTTTATGGCTCCTTTTAAGACATCTCATCTTTCCTTTTGACTCTAATCCAAACAAATATTTGTGAACATGACAAGCAGATTTCCCTGCCAGTGTGGGTTCTGCCTGTCAGATCAGCAAACTTCAAGAGACATGGACAAAAACAAACATTTGTTTATCATTAATGTCTGTCACTTTAACTGGGCTACTTTTTAAGA